GGCGCCCTCCTCTCTGGGGGTAACCAAGGTGTTCAGAGAGGCCTGGAGACTTCCAAAGGTGGCAGTTAGTTGATCTCTCCCTACTGCAATGATGCTAGAAGCTCAAGGAAGTTTTCAGTAGGGGCTGAACCCATGGGGGCTCTAAGTGGCTACTGCTCAAAGTAACTGCCAACTAGTTCTCTGGTATTTTTGTTATTCGTAAGCACTCAAAATGCATTTAAATTTAAATTTAAAAATGCTATGGTCACCGTGTCCACACCTGAAGGCCACCACCATGAGACAGTGACAGCTGAGCTGGGAGGCCACTGGATGGCTCTGGGCACAGGAGGCTTCCCTGGAGAACTCCATGAGTTCTCTGGGAATGAGAACCCAAGAGCAGACAGACTTCCTGCAATCGTGGGATGGGGGCTCAGACTGCTATTAATTTTAGAACTAAGTGGAAATGACATCCCTATAAATGTGGACCACACAGGTGCCTCCCGAAATGACATGGGATATTTTCAGCAATGTTCTGTTCTCAACCTGCTGTACCCCAAGTTGACAGAGCAATGACAATGGATTAGGTCTTCACCATTCCTGACCAGGGGATCTCCTTAAAAATCGCTTTCCTGGGAGAGGTCCCAGTCGCCGGGGTGGAGTGGAGCTCCCCACCAGCTGGAGGGTGGAGAGACGTCAAGTGCACAGACACAGGAAAAGGGCTGGCTCCCTCTGACCAGCATGAAGCCTTTCTGCTGACTTTTTCTATTAACCACATACCTCCTGTCATCTGGCAAGCCTTTGACAGTTGTCAGAGCACTTTGTATCTGGCTTACAATAGCCCAGGAAAGTTCCAAGGAATCCAATCCTGTCAGTGGCTAATAGAGGTAAAAGCACTGGTCCAAGGGCACACAGCTGGCAGTGGCCATCCTGGGGCTAGAACTAGGTCTCCCACCTCTGAGGTCCACAGGCTTCTCCCAGTAGCCTTGTGAACCTCGGGTGCTGAACCCAGAACACTCACCCGGGCAGATTATGGGTGTGACAAAGCTCTTTGCTCCAACTCGGCCGATTCAAGGGAATTAGCAGGGAAGTTCCTCACCTGGGAGCTTAATATTTCTTCCTCTTTCCTCTAGGCTGATGGGCAAGACACCCTCCCATCGTCTTCATGGTTCTATAAGCTTAGCTGCTGTGAAATGTCAGTCAAAGAGAGTTGAACTTCAATCTAGAAACTGGGGTTTGGATTCTGCAATTAACTAGCAAATCCCTCCTCAGCTAGTCACCTCCATGCCCCAGAGTTTCCCCTTCTATTTGAAATGCACATCTGCCATGTCCCTCTCTTGTCCCAAAACCTCCAGGGATGCCTGTCACCCATCCAGCTAAAATTCAAACTCCCTATTCCAATCTGAGTCACTATCTAATCCTATGAGAGAGGGCCATTCAGAGAAGAGGCTTCTGTCCCTTCTGAGCTCTTCTATGTTCAGCCATGAAGGAGTCAGGCAGACAATGAAGGGAGGTGGACATTAGTTATGTTCCATAGACAACAGCCAGAAGCTCCTTCTGGAGCCAGGGCTGCCCTTTGGTGGCTCCCTCAGCTTACATCTACAGTTCTCCTTGGCCCATTGACTTGACTACAAAGTGTCCCCAGGCAGTTTCCTCCCCCCACCCCCCGCCCCCCTCGGGTCGGTTCCATCTAGGGCTCTCTCCCTGTTATGTATAGCTCTGACACAGTGATCACAAGGCCTGGAACTTCCCCAATCACCAGTTCAGGCACAGAAACTGCGAGTATGCCTGTTACCACAACTGAGCATGGACTTCCTACACTCCCAGATGTCCACTGTACCCCCCAGCAATGCCTATTTAGAAACATCATCCGGAAGACCATGATGAAGTAAAGTGAAAATGAGACCATGGAACCATCCAGAGCTCAAAATTTGCCCTAAAAATTTCCCAGTGTAGCTATGTGGACAAAGATGTCTGCCCAGAGCCACCCACAGTTTCCCTGGGGTTCACAACATTCCCCCCACCCAGAACACTCAGCCCAGAGCTGTTGCTGCTGCCCCCCCCACTCTGAATTCACTATACTTTTTCTTTTCCAAGAGATCTTCTAAGATGAGAAAGGGCATTATTTATACAGTAGTGAAAGCACGAGTTTCTCTGAAGTCAGAGACCCAGGTTGTAATCTTAGCTCTGCCACTCACTGGCTGAGTGATGCAGACAAGTGACTTAGCTCTGACCTCACTACTCCATCTGTAAGACACTGGTAATGAAGCCAATCTCATGGGGTGGTCATAAGGATTAAATGAGACAATGCACCTCAGTCAGGATACTAACACTAAGCTGGTATAACAAAACTTCCCAAATCTCAGTAACTAGATACAACAAGAATTCACTCCTTACTCAAGTCACAGATTGGGTGTCTTTCCTGAATAGCTCCCCTCTAAGAGGTGACTCTGGGACCCAGGCTCCTTGCATTCCCCTTGCAGTCCTCCACTGGACCCCCTCCACCTAGCTCACAAAATAACAAGGACACATTTCCGGGCCAGGCCAGGAAGTAGCACCCACCAACTCAACTTCACATTGGTTAAACCCAGTCACATATTCCACCTACCTGCAAGGAAAGCAGGATACACAGTTGTTGTGAATACCGGAAATTACAGACGCTTAGAGTGGACTTTTTAGAACACCTAAAATACATAACTGAATGCAAACATATCAATTTCTTTTTTACAAAAGGTATGGTAATCATATGCTGGACATAATTCCTGTTTTGAGTGCTTTCTATGAAGCAGCAGGATACATTAGGACAGCCTACAATCAAATCTGGGCTCTGTCTGAAAAAAACATTAACCTATGTCAGCCATCGTGATTTTCTCATCTTAAAACAGGAAAGTTAATTTGTACAATTTATAAGGTTCTTCAAAAGCGCCATGTTCCCCCATCTCTAAGTTTATACTTCTGTCTGGAACACTCTCCCTATCTGCTCTTCACCCAGCTACCTCCTACTCATCCCTCATGAATCAGCTTAGATGTTACCTCCTCCAGGAAGCCTTCTCTATCCTCTACCCCATTGGGGTTGAGTGCCTGTTTCCTGTCCCCCCATTACCTTGTACCTCCCTTCCCAGCACATTTCTCACAGCATATTAAAGTCTCTGTTTAGGGACGCCTGAGTGGCTCAGCAGTTGAGTGTCTGCCTTTTGCTCAGAGCCTGATCCTAGGATCTGGGATCGAGTCCCACATTGGGCTCCCTGTGAGGAGCCTGTTTCTTCCTCTGCTGTCTCTCTCTCTCTCTCTCTCTCTCTCTCTCTCTCTCTCTCTGTGTGTGTGTCTCTTATGATTAAATAAATAAATCTTTTAAAAAAATAAAGTCTCGGGGATCCCTGGGTGGCTCAGTGGTTTAGCAACTGCCTTTGGCCCAGGGCACGATCCTGGAGTCCAGGGATCGAGTCCCACGTCGGGCTCCCGGCATGGAGCCTGCTTCTCCCTCTGCCTGTGTCTCTGCCTCTCTCTTTCTCTCTCTCTGTCTATCATGAATGAATAAACTCTTTTAAAAAAAATAAAGTCTCTACCTTCTGTCTCTAGATAAATTGTAAATGACTTGGGAGAAGGGACCTTGTTCTGGTCACCATTTTATCCTCAGCTTTAATACCGTATGTGGCCCAAACTGAGTATACAGATAATGTTTGCCATAGGAGTGAATTAAGAAATCTGATCCTCTGTCAAAATGGCAATGGGGTAAGACTTTTAGACTCTTATTAACTCAACAAGAACAAAAAGAAAGTAAAGGCAAGTTCAACAAGTAACTGCACAATGTCCTCCTCCTTTGAAAGGTCAGTGGGAACTGAAAAGTCATTTCAAAAGGCAGCCACACCCCTGGGGTCATGCCTGGATACTTCTGAGCAACTGGCCACACTCTTCATCTTTCACTTGAGCAACAGAGAGTGCAGGAAACATTCAAACACTAAAAACCCTGGAACTCTTTCCCCTAGCCAATCTGAGGGTGTGGCAACAAGAGCTGTCTCCTTAGGGTGGCTCCAGAGACTGGGTCCTGTGTCTTGTTGGCCTGCGTATACCACTCTCCACTATCCACAGAGCTGGAGCATCCCTGACCTTCACTAATCATCTTCAAGAAGTGAGGTCTTCCTAGTTCTTAAGTAGACCCTCGGACCCCGATAGGGCCCCCTCCTCAATACTTGCACATATTTTGAAGCAGGTGTCACCACGCAACGAAAGTGAGGCGGACGGACAAAGTGTGTCTCCCGCGTTCTCACACCTTCCGCGCACCTGGAGTGAAATCTCAGATGAGTCGAGTAATAGCGAAGCATGAGTAACCCATGGTGTGCTACCCAGTTCTCTAAGAATGCTAGCACCCCGCAGGGGAGGGGGGGAAGCTCTAAACGTGAGAGTTCAGGCAGGCGAGGGGAAAGCAAAAGGAGCTAAGGGAGGTTCTGGGCACCCCTCCAAAACTATGAAGTCGGGCAGGGGACTGCCTGTTTTACCGCTGGTTTGGCTCAGAGCTCCGCATCAAGGCACCACCGGTCAGGCAGGCAGGTGCCCCCGCCACGCTCCCTGAGCGCCTGGGACCATCGCCTTCCCCATCCCCGGGGCAAGAGGCGGGCCTCGGCCACCGCTCCCAGCCCGACGCTATTCTGCCGGCGCGATCAGCTCTGACACCCTCACCCCCCCTTCCGCACCACCGCCCCCCCCCCCCGCCCCATCCAGGCTGCGCGATCGCGAGGGGGGGGGCTCTTGGAGGCCTGGAGGGGAAGTTGGCCCGAGCCCTGCCCCCGCCCCGGGACAGCCCGGCGCCCGCGCAACCCCGGCAGCCTCCTCCCCTCCCGCGGGGGCGGACCCGGAGGCGCTGCGGGCGGCGGACCCCACACCCGCATCCGGACGCGCGGCCTCGGGGGCGGGGCTTCCCGGGGCCCCTCCCCTTCCCTCTGACGTCAGCCCTCGGGGCGCGGGCTGCACCTCCGGCGGGTCCCGGCTCGCAGAGGCAGAGCCGCGGGGCGGCGGCTGGAGGCGCGCGGACTGGCTCTCGCTCCGGCTCCGGCTCCGGCCCCCGAAGGATGCGGCGCGCCCAGGATGCTGCCGCGCCTGCTCGTGTCGCTGGCGACGCTCCTCTGCCTGTGCCCGGGCCCGGGTGCGCACGGTAAGGATCGCGGCCCCCGCGCCCCCCGCGCCCCCCGCGCCCCCGCGTCCCCCCCCCCCCCGCTCCCTCCGCGCCTCCCGCGCCCCGCGGCCCCCCCCCCCCCGGCGGGGCTGCGTCCGCACCCGCCTCCCACCCCCAGCGCCCCTCCGTTCAAGTTCTGCGTTCCTGGAGGCCCGTCCGGCTGTCCCCCCGGGGGGACGGGGCGGGGGACGGGGTTCGTCGTCTACGCTCTCTCGGGAGCTCCGAGGTTCCGGCAAGCCCGGCTCTCAGGCTCCCCCCTTGGATGTGGGAGAGCACGAAGTTGACGGGGCGGGCTGGTGGTGGACGGAGAAGTTAAAGGACACCCACTCCCCAGTCTGTCTTCCATACACTTTCGGGCGATTCAGAAACTAGTAGTCCTGGCCTTTTTTGCTGTTGTTCTAGCTCAACTGGTACGAATGCTTTGCCCTCCGGGGAATAAGACCTTGCTTGATCCCTCACCTGGCTCCACCTTCCCTTAGCCCTCCACTTAATGCTTCCCCTGCCGTCCTCCCCCTCCCGCTCCCCCCCTACCCCGCATCCCAGGTCTTGCCCCCTACTATCACCTGTCGCTCCATCTGATCATCCCTGCTCCTTCTTTAGCTCCTAATGTACTCCCACTGCCACCTGTCTCGCTCTCCCTCCTACCCCACAGCTCAGCCTTCTAACCCAGCCAGCCACCCTGGGAAGCTGCTGCAAGGTAGAGGAGTAAAGCCTGGAGAGAGAATGAAAGGGCAGGGAGGTGGAAGCCCGAGTGTGGAGCCAGGGAGAGCACGGACTGAAACGGCAGTCTCCGCCAAAATACAAAGTCTGCCATTCACATGATCGAGAGTCAAGTCGGGGACATGTAGCCCCAATACCACAAAGACCCGCTGCATTTCTCACTTTCCATCTAACATTTTGAAATCGAAACACAGCCTTGGGGATCAAAGATATCGTAAGAAAGAAAGCAAGGGACATCGGAGATAAACTTTCTAAGTGCAAATGACAATTCTAGAGGAAGCATTACTAGAGAGATGGTGAGAAGTTACAGAACAAAGGAAGCCCCTGCGAGTGGCTGGCAGATGGAGAGACATTGGGGATGGAGGAGGAGAAAAGAGGAACCAACTGGCTATTGACCTTGACCTACCTCATTGCACTTGATTGGCAAGACTCTTAGAGGGGGCATATTTATTACATTCTAATGAATGAGAGGTTCAGTGAGGTTCAGTCGTTTCTCCGTCACACTGGCAAGTGTTAGTTTGAGGCTCTAGAAGTTAGTGTCCCATGGTGAATGGCGTGGGGGGGCCGGAGATGGAGTTGGGCAGTGGTATTTAATATCTCACCGTGGAGCTAAGTGGGCTGGCTCTGTGTGGAGATGTTGTCAGTACAGTCTAAAACCAGACCTGCTTCATTCTGTCTGTCCTCACCCAGCCTAAAGTCATCCTAGACTTGGGGGAAATGGACAAGCACTGGCCTTGGGGTTGCCCAGGAGACCTGTGAAGGGAAACAGGCAGCTGCCAGCAAGCAGGCTCCCTGTATACCCCCCAAGAATTCCAGGCCTTGGACTGGAACCAGGTCTGGGGCTGGGGGCAGGCCTTGCGCTGAGGCTGGAACAGGGACAGGGATTGGGGAGAGCCAGGGACTCGATCACCTGAGATGAGGGCTCATTGCAGACAGATATACCTTAACCCTCAGCCTGTGCCTTCTCTCTGGAGATACATCAGACTCAGCTTGGCTCTTCTCGACCACCACTTCTGCTTCTGATCACAGACAGCACAGGATAGCGCTAAGGGTACAACACTAGTTCTGGAATCAGACGTGTGAATTCACCTGCCCCTTCCTACCTCCATTGGCCTTGGGCAAGTCACTCAACCTTTTGGAGCCTCCGTTTCTTCTCTAGTAAAATTGGGGTGGTAAATGCCTGCCCTGTAGAGCTGGTTGAGAGAATTAAGTGAAACAACATATGTAAAGTACTTGGCAGAGGGCCCAGAGTAAATTTCTTAATAAATGGAAGCTGCTAGGATGATTACCACCCTTGCCATGATCATTGTCATCCCTGAGGATGGGCTCTGCGAGCTCTGATATTGACACTCTTCTCCCCAGGGACAGAACTGCCCAGCCCTTCATCTGTGTGGTTCGAAGCAGAATTTTTCTCCCACATCCTCCACTGGACTCCCATCCCGAAACCATCCAACAGCACCTACTATGAAGTAGAGCTTCTGAGGTATGGAAAAGGGAGGATGGAGAAAGGGGATGGTAGGTGTGGGAGGGGGAGACGCATCTCCTTCCTTGGCACGGGAGGACATATCTGTCTTGTTATTGGAGTACCCCGGGAAGACCGTGGCATATATCCATCGGTTGACAAGTACAGATTGAGTCCCTTATGTGTTGAGCAGTGTGCAGGGAGTTCTGTGATGAGAAAGCCAAGGTATTGCCTTTACCCTCAAGGTTTTTCCATCTTACTGGAAAAACAGGAAATGTGTCCATAATATAATTGGAAAACAAGAAAGCCCTAACGGAGTGCAAATGTGATTGGAGAAAAAAGTCAGGCTGTATTGCAGTAGGTAGCAAGTCTTCCTGGAGGAGTTGGAGATCTGTTAGATATTGCAATTTAAGAGAAATTGGTACATGGTCCCAGAACCAAAAGAGATCCTCTTGCAGTTAGATGCCCAGGACCAAAGAAGATACCTACAGGCTGTGGTGTCATGGGAGCCCTCTCCATCAGCCCCTTGCTTTCCTCTTAATGGAGGTAAGTTTGAACACAAGTTCCTCTACCGATGCCTATCCTGATATCTCCCCAGGTATGGGTTAGAACCCTGGAAGCGCATCCCCAGCTGTAACCAGACTCAGGTGCTGTTCTGTGATCTCACTATGGTGACCCTGGACCTGTACCACAATAATGGCTACCGAGCCAAAGTCCGCGCAGTAGATGGAAACCAGTCCTCCAACTGGACATTAACCAACACCCGCTTCTCCATGGATGAAGGTGCTTTCTTGCCCTGGGCCTACAAGATGGTTTTGGGGGGTCCCTTCCTGCCAGGAACTCTAGTCTAGAATGTGACTCTGTTCCCGTAGCTCGCCATCCAGCCGGGCTTCCTGGCCAAGGAGCTAGTTGTCCAAACAACTAGTGAGGACTTTTGAGAAGACTTAGATGAAAATAGCCAAGTTATTCAAGATTTAAAAGGGAACTGGAGTTGTTTATCCTATAGAAGAGGAGTCTTGGGGTGAGTCAGAGCAGCTGGATGAGAAGGGCCAGACCTGTGTACTTGTAGGCTTCTAGAAGAGGAAGTGAATCCATAAGCTCTCAGCATAGGGCTGCAAACAGTAGGCAGAACTGGATCCAGTCCTCGGCCCCCGAGGGCCAAACTCCCAGTGATGAGGGTGTGAGGCTTTGAAGTGAGGCAATGCTGCTGAAGAAAGGTTGGGGGTCTGTCTTGGCAGAGGGAAGTGAAAGGGGTAAACTCCAAACCTGATGGGATTTTTCTATTCCACAAATTGGAATTGACCATGCTCGACATGTGATGAGCCTGCTCTGCAAAGTTCAGAGTCAGAACCAATGGTCTTTGAAGTCATTGGCTCCCAAATGCCTGTCCACAGGCCAGGGCTCAGCTGGTTACAGAAACATTACCTGGGGACTGTGTTTAAAATAAATGTATCCAGGCACCAGCTTTAAACATTCAGATTCACTGCGTCTTGAGTGGACCTGGGGTATGTGTATTTGTCAGGTACTCCCCGGGAAGTCCTTATGTTTGGCTAGGTTGGAAACAGGTGGCCCAGGTTTTAGGGTGGGTAAGCTTGACTCTACAGAGGCTGGACATGGGTGGGGCACCCAGGCTCTCCCCAGCCTGCAGGCCTCATGATTTTGCCTCCCTACTCAGTGAATCTGACGGTTGGCAGCGTGAAGCTGGAGGTGGAGAACGGCATCATCCTCGGGAAGATCCAGCCCCCCAGGCCCAGGATAGCCCCTACAGGAGACACTTACGAAAGCATCTTCCAGCACTTCCGCGAGTATAAGATTGAGATTCGCAAGGTGCCAGGGAACTACACGGTATGTGCTTCCCCAGGGCCACAGGACAAGTGTATTAGTAAGGAATGCAGCGGGCTCTGTGGGCCTCCCTGTCGCTTGGGCACCCTTTGTGCATCCCCTGGGGAACTTGGCTGGCTGAATGGGGGGGAAGGCATGGGGCAGGGGAGGGAATTGAGATGACCTCCACCTTCAAAGTGATGCTCCTGCCAGGTGACAGGAAGACAATGCCTACTAGTGTCAGGCACCATACAAGATACTTCGTAGCTATTATTCTGGATCCCCTTGCAGGTAGATATTTTATTCCATTTTATCAATGGGGAAATGAGGCTCCAAGAGGCCGCGTAGTTGCCCACGGACATCCCCATAAGTGGGAGATCTAGAATCTGCCAGACCCATCCTCTTCCCACCATTTGATTCCAGCCCCTTCTAGAAAGGTCCTCAGCATCTATAGAAATGTTCCTTTCCTCTTTTAGTATGAAATAAGTCATGTTAATCACAGAGATATCTTGATCTGTATTGATAATACCGGGTTTGTTATGTTAGAGAAACATCTCCGATGGCTCCCCCGCTCTCAGCTTCCATGGTCCGTGAATCAAGGGCATTTTGTTTATTGCTCTGTTGTTTTTGTTGTTTCAGTTTACAAAAACAGTAAAACATGAAAACTTTAGCCTCTCACCCCCTGGAAAACTGGGAAATTTCTGTGTCAAGGTGAAGCCATCTGTGAGCTCTCGAATGAACAATGGGATATGGTCGAAGGAGGAGTGCATCGTGCTCACTTATCAGTGTGAGTCTGCGGTCAGGGCTGCTGCCTGGGGGGCGGGGGTCTCACACAATCTGCAAAGCATTGGTTGAGGGCTGCCAATGCCCTGGGCACTCCCCCGCACAGCCATATGAGAAAGCTCCCATTGTCTCCATTTTAGAGACACGGGAACTGAGGCTCTATGGGTATAAACAGCTTTCTAGGGCATGGTGGCAGAGCCAGGTCCCTTGATCCTACCGGTGTTCCACTTGAACACAGCTGTGAGAACAAGAACCCCCCCCCCACCCCAGCCCCACGCTGTCAGCTGTGGTAGTTCCTGTTTGTTAAATTCCTCCTTGTTCTTTCTTAAAGCTGGACATGGAGGGTCTTCTCCTTATCCTGCCTCCCTATCAGAACCCAGCTGACCCTGTCACAGCTGCTAAGGCCAGGCTCTCCGCAGGTGCCAGGGAGAGGAGGGAAGAGAGAGGACCTGGGATATGAAGGCCGTGGTCCTGTCCACGAGAATCTCCCAGTCTGGCTGGGGGGATAGGGGGTGCTCAGAGGAAGCTATAAACAGCAGTTCCAGGCATGACTTGTCCAGCTCCTAACTGGTCATGCCAGTCCAGTGTGGGCAAAGTCCAGCAAAGACCACAGTGACTCCCTACATTTCTACGGTCCATCTCAGTTCATGAAGGGCAGTCTGAAGCTCATGGTCATTTAGCCTCACTCTCATTTAAGCACAGGTAAAGCACCCCCCTGTGTCAGGCGGCCTTAAGAGCTTTTTCAGCATTCACTCACTGGTAGAAGAAATAGTTTTGTGTGCAGGTCTGGCATCAGATCTCAGCTTTGCCACTTACAAGGTATGTGACCTTGGCTGAGTTACTTAAACTCTCTGGGCCCCAGGATCCTAATCCGTAGAAGGATGATAATAGCATCCACCTCCTGAGGTTATAAGGAGTAGATAACATAAGGACCTGCTACATGATCAGTGCTGTGTACTTTGCAACCACGTGGGAGGCACTATTATTTTTCCCATTTTATAGCTGGGGAAACTGAGGCTCAGAGAGGCTGAGTAATTCATCCACACCCTCACAGCTAGTACTCGGTGGAGCTGGGATTTAAGCCCAGGTCTGGCTGCCCCCACAGCCTCCACTCTTACCTGCTGTATCATCCTGCCCTGCTGTTCCTCAGGCTGTGGTGCGAATTGTGTGCAGAGCTGGAAGCAGAGTCCCTGTGTCTAGAGGGGATCCCTGCAGGATGGGTTGGAAGGTCAGGCCAGGATTTCTAAGGATCACTGGGCCTTATGGCCCAAAGGAAGCCTGGCAGGTCACATGGGCCACTGACTCTGGGCTGCCAGGAGCCACCCCTCCACATCTCCCAGGTGCCAGGCCACAAACACATCTCTCTTGGCCTACAGATTTCACCGTGACCAACCTCAGCATCTTCTTCACCTTCGTCCTGCTGCTGTGCGGAGCTCTGGCCTACTGCCTGGCCCTCCATCTGTACGTGTGGCACCGGAGGAAGCTGCCCCCTGTCCTGGTAAGTCTCATGGGGAGGCCCCACCCTTCCCAGCCGTACCAGGATGCCAGGACACAGGGGGCTCCCTCCCAGGCAATCCCTTCCCTCAGCCCTGACATTATGAGGCACTTTCACCAAGGACCATGAGGACAGAGGGGGAGCTTAGATGCAAAGCCAAGTGCTGAGAACATTCCCTTCCTGGGGCCCTGATAAGACACATAACGAGTAGTCTTAACCCTCCATATGCCATTTTGTCCCTATTTACTAATAAAAGACCCTGGGCCAGCCCCTCTGCATTAGTACCTCTGGGTGGGGGGCTGCTTATTATCCTCAGTTTACAAGGTGCTTATTATCCTCCATGAGGCATGGGGCGATTGTTACATGCACCAGCCCGAGAGCCAGGAAGTCAGGACAAGCCCAGCCCTTCCCACCCCTACCAGCTGGTGATGACCAGTGCTCCGGAAGAGGAAGAATAGAAAGCTGGAAGCCCCAGCCTAGGGCTGCTGCCAAGCTGGCATTACTGCGGGGAGGACGGAGGACGGGTGGTGGAGGTGGCCAGGGTCTCCGCCCCCCTCCCAGACTATTTCCTCTTGCTGCAGGGAGCCTTGTGCTAAGCCAGCCCCCAGCATTCCCAAACTTCCGCCTGTCCCGCCAGGGCTTCAGGCCACTCCACAGGCTGCAGCCACATCCCCACAGCTGCCATCACTGCGATGGGAAGCACCGGCTCCATCAGGGAGGCAGGGGCCCCAGGAAAGGCCCCAGGATTTCTAGGAAAAATAAGGAGACAAAGACCTCCTGGATGTATTTTGAGTTAGCACTCTAGGAAGAGGGGAGGTGGGGAGAGCTGCCTGGCCTAATTAGGGTCTTGGTCCAGGCAGCAAAGGACTGTGTTCCTAGCTCCAGGACCCTGGGTAGAGCGGTATGACGAGGAGACTGGGGACTGCCAGCCCCTACAGCCTTATGGGATCAAAAAGTTCTTCCTTATGTCTAACTGAAGTACGTAACTCCTCATCCCTTCTCTGCACTCTGGGGAGAGTCAGTTCCACAAACATGTATATGTCAGCCCGTTTAACAAGTGCTTTGAGCCGATTCTACATGCAAGGCCTGGAGCCGGGATGGGGTGGCTGAGAGATGAGTGTGCATGGGCACTGCCCTCAGGGATGGATAACTAGAGAGCAGAGAGGTCGGGGAGGGGTGGTCCTGGTAACTGGAGCAGGGATTCCTAGTTGGGCATCAGGAAGAGCGTCTAGGAAGAGATCAATGAAGTGGCAGTCGGGCTACAGTTATTAAGCATATGCCAAATGTCGTCTGGGAAGAAGCAGATCCTTGTGACCCCTGGTCGTGAGGGGCTTGATACAGCCTGGTGGGGTGGCCAGCGTATAGAATCTGTTCATTCTAATGCGAACCAGGGAAATGGGCCCAGGTACAAAATGCCAAAGGAGAGGAGCAACCTCTGGGGTTTTGTTCCTTTGTGCCATTTGGATCCCCAAAGAGAGCTCTCCTTGAGAACGTTTTCCTCAAGACAGATGCAGCCCAGTCGCCTTCCTCTAATGACGGTGCCCGTTACTAACTTTACGAGTAACTTAGAGCACACGGAGCACTTTCACATTCATTTGCCTACTCCCTCTCGTGAGTTGTTTTGATCTGATCTTTGGACAAATGGGGATATCAAGTCAGGACAGTGGAGTACAAATCCCAGGTTTGTTCTTTGCTGCTGTGACTTGGTGCAAGCCATTTTACTTCTCCAAGGTTCAGTTCTCTCCTTAGAGATTGGAAAGTAAAATTCAATGCGCCAAATATTTACCAACTGCTTTCTGTGTACCAGGCGCTGTTCTAAGCACTTGCCGTGCGTTAACTATAACATGAGAAGCAGATACTGTCATTATTTCTATTTTATCGGTGAGGAACTAAAGCACCGAGAGGGCAAATAAAAACAATTCAGCTAAGGGGACATAGCTGATAAAAGGCAGAGGTGGGATTTGAACCATTGAGTCTGGCTCTTAGAAGCAGATATCCTTAATCACCAACCTGTGTGATGTTAGTAGGAACTCAACCCATAAGAATTGCATTAGAAAAAAAAAAAAAAGAATTGCATTAGAGTCAAAACTTACAAAGGAAATGAAGGCAGAAGTGCAACAGTGAGTCAGTAAGTCAGTCAACAAACCTTATGAGTGTCTCACATGTGCCAGCTCAGTTTAAGCTCCAGGAACTGAGTGGCAAACAAAACTAGACAGCTCCTGTCCTCAAGGAGCTTATATTCTGCTGGGTGTGGGGAGTAAGTGAGGCTATATAGCAGGTCGTGGTGGGAGGCAGAAAATAAATTTAAAGAGAATTTCAGGAACCAAGTGCTAGGAGGAAGTAAACAGGGTAATGCAGTGAGTGTCAGAGCACTGCTTTAACCAGGATGATCGGGAAGTCCTCTCTGGGGAGTAACATCTGAGCTGAGGCCTGAATGGTAAGGACGACACAGCCATATAAAGCACTGAGCCAAGAGTGTTTCCACCACAGGGCATAGCATGTGCAAAGGCCCTGAGAGCACTGAGCTGATGCATTCCAGAGCACAAAGAACCCCAGGGTGGCTGAGACAGAACAGCAAGGAGGAGAGGGATTAGGTGACCGTCGCTGGGACTCCCGGCAGTTCATGGGGAGCAGGTCCTCCCTGGCTGCTAGGTCTGTGCTTGTACCCCTGCCCCACATGGCAGCTGCTCAGGGAGTAGAGAACTTAATTTGGCGTCTCCCATGCAGCATTTTCAAAAAATGAAATGGACAAGCCAGGATAATGGCTGGACTGGGATAGGACAGGGTGGGATAGACTAGAACAGGAGTAGAACAGAATAGAGTCGTGGTATAGATCACGGTACACGAGTAGTAATGATTAGTATTTTGTAAAACTGCTTTCGGTTTACTGGCTATTTATATAGATTGCCATGTAACACAGTTCTTGTTCTGGATCACAGTCCAAAAAAGTTTGAAACACACTTGTAGCTCTATCTGGGTAAGTCTGGCTGACTCTTAGGTGTGGAAAGCCCTGCTGAAGGAGCTGAGAACATTCTCCGTTCCCCGCAGGCTCCCGTTCTGTCTGCCGTTCCATCTGGGCTGTAAGCATGCAGGCCTGAGCCAAACTGAGAATTGCGTTAAGAGGAAAGGTTGATTCTGAAATGAAACAAAAAGTCCCTCAGTTAGAGCAGAGCTTCCTTGAGCTCGCCTCCTGCCCCCCAGGGCCTCACCTCTACCATCAGAGGGGGTTCCTGCATGTATCCCTCACTCTGCCCTCTCCTCTCCAGATCTTCAAGAAGCCCCAGCCCTTCAGCTTCATCAGCCAGCTTCCCTGCCCTGAGCCCCAGGACACCATCCACCCCCTGGATGAAGAGGCCTTCCCCAAAGTGTCCTCAGAGCTGAAGAACTTGGAGCTGCATGGCAGCACGGACAGTGGCTTTGGCAGTGCCAAGCCATCACTGCAGAATGAAGAGCCCCAGTTCCTCCTCCCTGCCTCCCACCCCCAGGCTGAGGGGACCATGGGAAAGGGGCTGTCCCCGGAGCCAGGGAGCAGCTGCAGTGGTGGCAGCAGCAACAGCACGGACAGCGGGATCTGCTTGCAGGAGCCCAGCCTGAGTCCTAGCACTGGACCAAGCTGGGAGCAGGGTGGGGAACAGCCAGAGGACCAGGATGACAGTGGTATTGGCCTAGTCCCAAACTCCGAGGGGCAGCCTGGGCATGAGCGGAGTGACTCTGCCTTGGGCCACATTGATCCCCCTGGGCCTGAGGCACCTGGGGAAGAAGACCTCACCTTCCGGGGCTACCTGAAGCAGACCAGATGCACAGAGGAGAAAGCAGCCAAGACAGACTGCCTGGAGGAAGAGTCCTTCTCTCCGGATAGCCTTAGCCCCAAGTTCAGGACCTGCCTGGAGGCAGGCTGGCCTCCACCGGCCCTGGCCAAGGGCTATTTGAAACAGGACCCAGGAATGACTGTCACTCCCTCAGGGACCTCAACTGGACAGTGGAACCAGCCAATGGAGGAATGGTCACTCCTGGGCTTGACCAGCTGTGGTGACCTCAGAGCATCTGACTGGAGCTTGGCGCATGATCTTGCCCCTCTGGACTGGGTGGCAGGCCCCAGGGGTCTCCTGGGCAAATTTGACTCAAACCTGGCCACCCTGCCACTGATCTCCAGCCTCCACTCAAGCGAGTGACTCAAGCTGAGGGGCTGATTTGATTTCGGCCACGAGGGGCCCCAGGGGTCAGAAATGATGGCCAGTGTGGGCACTCCTGCAAGCCCAGTGGAGCCAGCCCAAGCCAGGCCCAGCAGGGCCAGCCAAGGTACCCAGGGCAGAAAGAGACAATCTTTCTAAACTGTCACAGGGTGTATGAGTGGCATTGGCTGGTTGTGCCAAGAGGGCTCCAAGGTCTCTGGCAGAGCCGGGAAGGGCAGGGTGGGGCTCTTCCTATACTCTGATGGATTATCTGCTCAGGGGAATCACAAGGTTTTCTGGAATTGTGCTGAGGCCCCAGCTGAAGTCAGTTCAGACCCAGGCCTCCCCCTTCGACCAGGCAAGTGCCAGGGCCTCCAGCAGGACAGAGGGCTGGGAGGGTTGGGGCTTGAGGGTTTCCCTGCAGGGGTCACTCCTTGGAGGACAAAGGAGAAAACAGAGACCACATTTGATCTCTGGGATGGTGTGAACTGGTCAGCCTGGGATGGTCACCTGGAGAAGCTTCCCAGCTGGCAGTCCTCCCAGGCAGGGAGCTTATCATGGAAGATCTTAAGATGCATCTCCCCTAGCCGGCCAGTCTGCCAACCACTGTTACAGAGCCAGAGGGGGATGTAGCCCCTGTGGCTGAGCCACTCACTACCTCCACCCTGTTGCCCCCAACATCTTGCTGACAGCACCAGAGAAACCATGGTTCTCTGTATTGGTCAAAAGTCTACCCTTCAGGTGGTCTCTGAGCTTGGGCACCAGCTCACCTGCCCCAGTGTAGGTTTTGGGACCTACACTTGTGTTTACTGCTAAAAATCCCGCTGAAGACCACCAGGACATGGCACTGGGCTCAGATCCCTGCTATCTAGGAGTCAGCTATGTGAGCATGGGCCAGCCACTTCTCAGGGGGCTTGTTATCCTCTGATAACACGGGTGGAATAATGACTTAATCTCCAGTGGCCTCCATGCCGGATGTTAACCCAGCTGGCATCAGGGGTGACGTCTGCAGCCCGGTTTGACCCTGGCTGGGGGGAAAGTGGACTGCGGAGCTCCTATCTGCACAAAGCCAGCTTCGTTCTCATGCTGAGGATGAGCAGATTTAACAGAACTCCGTGGTGTCAAGCTAAGACAACTCCCAGACCCTGGGCCCAGAAAGGGGACAGGTGTGGGTCCTGCCTCCCCACTCAGTTTGGATTCTATCTTCAAAGCCAGTTTACAGTCCATGGCAAGGAAGCTGGAAATGACAGGCCTGGGGTCTGCCCCCACACACACACCTGAGGGTCACCTCTCGGCCCTGCATTTTTCTGGGCATTCTGAGAAGAGACACTCTAGCTCAGGGAAACCACCCCCTACTCTCCCACCACACTCTCCCAAGAGGCTCCCACGTGCTAGTCTGATAATTGAACTCCCTCTGGAAACTTAGGCTCATGGGAAGATTTCTCAAGGTTCCCCAGGAAGGTTTATTTATTTATTTTGTTCACTTATTTATTGAAGCAGTGGCATGGTACAGTGCAAGAATTCTGGGTATTTCAAGAACCTGGAGGTTCTAGTTCTGACCCCTCTGTTTCTGGTGTTTCCTCATCTGTAAACTGAAGCAACTTGGCTTCTTGATCTGTAGAAAAGCATATACCTGACGTGCAGTTCCCAGGGATGCGAGGCCTTGCCGAGGCAGTGGATCCCCGTGTGCCTTGAATACAAAGCTCTTTGTAAGTCAGTGACGTATGTCTTTTTATCTTCAATAAATTGTCAGGACCTCAGGAGTCATGTGAAACCAGATTTCTGACAATGCGGTGGCTGGTGGAGGACTCAAGTTGTTGATCGTTGAGGTTGATAATAAGCTGTGTGATGTCACTTTAGCAGTAACGAAGACCGGGGGTGGCATCGCCGACAGGCTCGCGTACAGGTGCTCGCGCTAACGTGGAGTATGTGATGGGGCTGGACTGCAGCGAGAGGCGCTCTCCGAAGGCTGGGAAGGAGAGGTGTGACACAGGGTTTTGAGTGCAGAGTCTGACCAGCTGGAAAAGAGACCAGACCTCCCTGAGCCCCGCCACCTGCTCCCCTCGACGTGGAGCTGCGTCCCAGGGGCGCTTCTCATAAGTGCGGAAGCCATCTGTATGCGATTCTGAGAGCAGCCTGCTCTTTCCACGAAAAGCCACACTGTGGGTTTGAGTCTCTCCCCGAAGCTCAGCCCTGCAGATGGAGACTCAGGGCTCCCAGGGCCAGAGTCTCCAGCGCTTGGCCCTTTGTCCCATCCTGGATCCTCGAGGAGGTGAGTGGGGACACCTCATCCCCTTTCCTCTGCGTCATCTCCAACGATGCTTTCCCCCATTTCACTCTGAAGAAATAACCAGTTCTGGGGAACCGCCGATCCTATCATCTTCAGAGAACTTGACTAATACCCCACCATTTGGAACTGCTCAGACTTTTGCCCTGGAGGCGTCCCCGCCCTGGTGGCAAGAGATGTGGGGTCGGTCACTTTCTCCTGGAAGTGGGTGTTGGAGATGGCCTCTGCCCCCAGGAAGAGGCCCTTGAGGGGGAGAAAGAGTAAGAGGAGGCATCCACAACCTGCCAGTTGGGCTGGAAGAGACAAAAGCAGAGCAGCTGGAAGAAGGCGGTCCGAGGGCGGGGGCCCCGCTGCAGGCCTGGCTGGCGTCCCTTGGGAAGCACCAACGGGCGTTTGCACTGGTCTCTTCATTTCTGAGCACAGCAGGGCTTGTGGGGGAAACTGAGTCCTTCATGCACCTGCTGCTCAGACACTCCCGGGCTTCTCAGAAATTGGATTCAGGTCCCCCACTGAAGGCCCCATTGGTTCTTAAACGGAGTAATCTCCCTCGAGGGTTTTTCCAGGCTGAGGAATGTGTGATTCTGGGTTTCTATGAGCTAATGGAACTTCCTCTTGGTAAGGAGAGGGGAAGTGGACCAACATTGACCCAAGAGGAAATTTCTGTTGAACTGTGTTTTCCCAGCTTTCTGAATAGCTGTATCAAAGTCTTCCTTGTCATCCCCGAGAAAGATCTCGACCCGCCTCCCCACCCCACCTGCGAGGCACACGCAATCCCAGAGGACACACGGTGGCAGAGGGCGGTCACGGCCCCAGAGCGCACAGTGCCCTGCTGGGGGAAGCTCTCGGGGCCCTGCGTGGGGACGGCGGCGGGGGGGCCTCCAGGCCGCGCTCCCACAGGACAGCGCACTGGTGACCATGAGAGGCAGGTTCAGAAGCGAGGGCTTGACTTTCTTGAGCCCAGCCTAGAGGACACCAGGTAGTGGGAGGCGTGACTCATCCATTTCCTGTAGTGCTCGTGGGTTTCAAGGTTACTTTTGAAGCACATCCACAATTTGAAATTAAATGCATTTTTATTAATGATTCACAGCACCTTTCCTCACTATCAGCTGGATCTTCAGTTCACCTAGCTCCCGTAAACATTCGAGAGGCGGGGCTGGGGGGCAGGGGTGGGCCCAATAAACACTCTGACAAGGAAGGCTTGGGTGGGGTGAAATTAGTGTTAAAAAGATAACCCTGACCAAGCATAAGGCATGGGTCAGAAGGGACAGGGCAGGATATAGGGAGACCCATTTCATTTCTTCAAGAGACATTTTTAAGTGCCTGTGTGCCGGACGCAGTGCTCGGCCCGGGGTCCAGAGCAAATAAAAGAGGTGCCGCTTCCTGGAGGGAGCCATCTGGCTATGAAGATAAGCATCAAGCTAACAGACTAGCAGATCTATCTCTACAATCAGTGATACGTGCCGTGAAAGGAACTAAGACGGGAAAGCAAGGCACGGAGACGAGGGGCAGTGCTGAAGAGGAGACTTAGTTTGCTTGGGCTGCAAACATACTACCATAGACAAGAAACATCCCTCACAGTTCTGGAGACTGGAAGTCCAAGATCAAGGTGCTGGCCAGTTTGGTTCTTGGTGAGGGCTCTCTTCCTGGCTTGGAGAAAGTCCCCTTCTCCTTTGTCCTCATGGGAGGAAGAGGGGAGGGAAGGGAGAGGGAGAAAAGAGGAGAAAGAATAAAGAGCAAGTTCTGGCTAGGCTGGCACCCTGGTCTCTTTGCCTTTTTTTTTTTTTTAAGATTTTTTTTATTTGAGGGACGCTTGGATGGCTCAGCAGTTAAACTCTGCTTTCGGCTCAGGGCGTGATCCTGGAGTTCAGGGATTGAGTCCCACATTGGGCTCCCTAAGGGGAGCCTGCTTCTCCCTCTGCCTATGTCCCTCTCTCTCTCTCTTTCTGTCTCTCATGAATAAATAAAATCTTTTTATTATTTTTAAAGGATTTTATTTATTTGAGAGAGCGAGCAAGCAAACATCACACATCCTTGAACAGGGGGAAGGGGCAGATGGAGAGGGAGAGAGAATCCCCAAGCAGACTCCTCACCAAGCAAGGAGCCGCAATGCAAGGCTCAATTCCAGGACCCCAAGATCATGACCTGAGCTGAAACCAAGAGCTGGCCGCCCAACCAACTGAGCCACTCAGGCACCCCTGTCTTCCTCTTCTTATAGGGACCCCACCCTCATGACCTCATCTAACGCATAATAGCCTCCCGAAGGCCCTACCTCCTGATAAATGATCACATTAGGAGTTTGGGCTTCGACATATGAATTTGGAAGGGACACAAACATTCAGTCCACAACAGGCTTAAATGGAAATCCGATCCAATGACAATACTGAGCAGGACAGCGGGAATGGAGAGCAGGTGACATTCAAAAGGCATTCTGCAGAGAGCGCTGGCAAGACTCAATGGCAGGCTGAGTGATGAGGAAAGTGAAATATGTACAAGGAAGGGAGACATGGCACCAAGGAGAGGGGAGGTGGCGAGTCCTGGCTCCCTGTGATAAGTCACCCCAGGAAAAAAACCTCTGGCAATTGGTGACACAGGCCTAGCAGGAGGGGAGGGCTCAGAGCTGGGGGTTCAGATATGCTCATGCTGACCCACCAGATGGGGGCATACACCTGGGCGTGGAGATGAGGACACTGATCTAGAGAAGGCCACATCCCCCACAACCCACCTGCAGGAAGAATACTCACCTGTTGACCTCCTGCCTCAAGGATAAGCAGGCTACCACCTCTGTGCTTGATTTCACACACACACACACACACACACACACACACACACACACACACACACACCACAATCTTCCCTGTCTTCCCCTTCTAATGATGCCATCATTCACCTAGTTGTACAGGACAAACCAGGAGTCATCCCTTCACATTCCACATCTAATCCATCAGGAAGGTCCGATCAATTCTACCTTCCAAATATATGGTGAATGCAATCACTGGTCCCCACTCCCATACTATCATCCAGGTCAAATCCATTACTAGGTCTCACCTGGACCACTATTCAACCCCTTATTGTCCCTCTGCCTCCACGCCTGCTGCCTTAGTCTACTAAGGTGTGATTCATACAGCATTGCTTAGTCTAGTACAGCAGCCAGCGTGATCTTTATAAAATATAATTCAGGTCATGTGATTCCCTGGCTGAAAGCCCTCTCCTTTGCTTCTGGTCCAAATGAGAGACTAAACTCCAATAAGTGAGTATCTGCCGATTCCCCCCCACAACACCTCCTGCACTCTCGCCCTTGCCCACCCCACTTCAAGCTCATTTCCACCTCAGATCATTTGTTCAAGTATCTTTTTAAACGCAGCCTCCTTGGGGAGGTCTTTGCTGACCACCCTATCCAAATATCCTCCCTGTCTCCATGACATCCTTCCCTAGCCCCAGCTTTTTTCCTTCAGCACACTTATTTTTTAAGTGATATGACCTATTTGTTTATTAGCTCATAGTCTCTCTCTCCCAGTAAAGTAGATCTATGAAGGCAGAGACTTACTCTCTTTTGCTCACTCCTGCAGGCCCACAGCCAAGAGCACATAGGTTTGTATGTGCTGAATGAATGAGAAAGTAAATAAATAAAGATAAACTTATAATGCAAGGCGTAGCCTAGATCTTCCCTGCCAAGAAGTAAGAACCTGATTCAAGGAGTTGTGGGTAGGTGGTTTATTTGGAAGATGATCACTGGGAACAAGGGTGAGATACCAGGAGAAGAAAAAGCCCAAATAAGGATGCATTATCAAGCCGGTAATACTGGGAGCATCTGGGTCTTGATCCCACTGGAATGTTCCCTGGAACATGTAGAGACCTCTTCCAATTGTCCCCTGAGCATTGACAGGAGAGGCCCTGGATCCATCCGCTTCTGGACTGGCTGAGGCTTCCCCCAGATGTGTTACTCTCTCAAACTGCTGGTGCACGGGGCTGCATGGGCTCCCCCGGAACGGGAGGAGCCAGGGCAGACAGCAAGTGATGTACAGTGGGCACTGGAGTCGAGATTTATGAGCACAAAGCTGGAGCCCCTTCAGAAATGTCTGGAATGAGGGGTGGAGCTCAGGATGTAAGGCAGAACATTGAGGCACCTGCTATTCGTGCTGTGAGGGAGATGTCCACAGGGGTCATGGAGTGTGTGACCCACCTAGGGTGTTCAGTGCACATATTTTGGACTGAACTCACAAGAGTGAAGAGACATTTATTAAATTATGCTAAGATTGGGAGACTCTCCCAAAACTTGAGAGATTATAAAATCTGAGCCCACAATTCAAACTCAGGGCAAAGAGGTGACACATGTAGTCCAGCAGGCACTGCATGGCACGATGTATTTTGGAAGGAAATAGGACCCTCATGTGACTGGAGTGTCCAGGAGTCACTCAGGCTAATGGGCAAGTCCATAGACAGGCTTCCACGGCCAGGCTGCTTGTCTGGAGACGCCCCATGGGCAAAGACGCAGCCCCACGGAGTGGAAAGAGTGCTGGGCTGGCCTGGAACTCAAGAGAAGTGGGTTCTGGGCTCATCCAGCTCTCAATCATGTCATGTCAGCTCTGGGCCTCAGTCTTCCCGGCCAAATGCAGAGTACTCTTCAATCCGACTTCTCTCCGCACTGCCCAGGCCATCCCGCTGCCACTGAAAATACCATGGAATGTACACTTATTCCACTGTGAGCTCTAGAGAACAGAAACTTCCCTGACTCATTTCTGTATCCTTCACGCCCTACCGATGCCTAACCTAGAGGTGCTCAGTGAGCTTGATGAATAACGCAGGCACAGCAAATGGATTCTCTTACAAGGAAAAGCATATGGAAGGAGTGGAAGAAGTAGAATAGCCAAACATGACATGGCAATGCAGGCAATGGTAGCTTGAGGCTGGCTGGGTCCTTGGGAGACATTAGACTGAGCCCAAAAGAAAGCAGGCTATACATAAATTTGACTTGAATTTTATTTTCAGGCCTGTCGTCGTCTCAGCTTAGTCATATTATACCATAATTATTCCTTTCCCTGCAATTTTTGCCCTACAGCTCTTAGGTATTGTAGGGACTCAGGGCTACAGACCAAACAGGAAGCCTAGAGCAAGGGGATGTGGTCAGGAGGCCAGGCAAAGGACCGTGAAAATATTCAGCACGCAGTCATTCACTCCTTTAGCAAACATTCATTGAGCATCGGCCTAGGCAGGCCCTCTGGGAATACAGATCCTTCTCCTCCTTGGGTTAGCTCTGCAGCACGTCCACACACATGCACACGCACACACATGCACACAGGTGTCTCTGCTACCTCCTCCCCTGCCCCCTCCCCCAGCCCTGTGGAACTGAAGTCACCCACGTTCTGCAACAGCCTCACAGCTGGAAGGGACCTCAGTGTCCTCGAGTCAGATGGCAGCCTTATACAAACAAGGCACCGGGGCCCACCGGCTACTGGGGTGACACTGGAAACATGAGGCTTCTTCCCTTTTCCACCCATCTCCTTCCCAATGGCTCCCTGCTTTTATATATGAAAAACCTTAACTTAAGGCTTTGGGGAAGGCAAGACAACCCCCACACCCCTACAGGTAAAAATCCAGGAGACAGGGACCCCAGCAAAGCCTTGGCCTCCAGCGCCACCCCACCTGTTGTTTTGTTGGCCTGTTGCTACTCTGGGCACACAGAACATTTTCACTTCTGGTCCCCAAATGTGAGAATTCACCAGGCCACTGGCTTCCTGTTTTGTACCAAATCTGCTTGAATCTCACTGCTTCTAGACAGTTTTTGATCACTAAGCAGTTTTTTAAATTTAGTAATGATACACCTATGTGCTCCCACTCGGAGGTTCTCAGAGCCCTGGGGCACAGAGAGGGCACAGGAGACGCTGGCCCCTGCATGGCTACCCCAGGGGAGCACAGCCCCCTCCTCGCCTGCCCAGTCTCTTCCTGGGTTTGATCATTCCTTAAGGTAGCCCTTACACAGAATACGTCACTGTCTGGGTCTGCTGTGTCTAGATCTGTATCTGGTGATGACCACAGGGTCGCACATGACTGAGCATGGGCAGAGAAAATCAAAAGCCTTGGTTTTCAGAGCACTCAAGATTGGACCAACAATAAAGCAAAGCCCAAGGTTCCCTGACAAGACTGAGAAACTGTCAACATACATTCCTGAGACATTCCTGGCTATGGCCAGAGCCATAGAAGCTACTGGAGAGGATTCAGGGAGGGTAGAAGCTGAATTTTGCCTGCAGAAAGCACCCATCCAGAGAGGGAGCACAGTCAATCTCAAGAGAGACTGGATACCCCCACAGGGTCTAGCAGTTCCAGGCATATTCTAGAAGCTGCTTGAATGAATGGATACAAGGGGAAAGTCAGGAATTCAGTTATAGGAGCCAGAGAGTATTTGTAATTAAAAGTGAGAAGACGGGGCACCTGGGTGGCTCAGTCAGTTAAACCTCTGCCTCTGGCTCAGGTCATGATCCCAGGATCCTGGGATCGAGCCCCATACCTGGCTCCCTGCTCAGTGGGGAGTCTGCTTCTCCCTCTCCCTCTGCTGCTCCCCCTGCTTGTGTGTGCTCTCTCTCTCTCTCTCTCTCAAATTAATAAATAAAATCTTAAAAAAAAAAGTAAGAAGACAACAAGATCTACCAATCTTAAGGAAGTCTCCTTGGGGAAGTGAAAATTGAGTTGGCGTAAAAAAGGGGCAAAATTTGATGATCCGGAGGTGAAGGGGTGTAAAAAAAAAATTAAGGGAAGATTGAGAAATGGGTCAGTAGAAGCTCAGAGCTGAGGACAGGGGCTACTCTCACCGCCCCAGGGGAACCAGAAGAGAGATCAGAGGCCAGCGGGAGGGGCCTGTGCCTTGGGGCCCACGGAGCTCAGGGAAGCTAGGAGCTTGGGCAGAGCCTTTAAGCGGCTGACCAACCATTATTAAAAAAAAACACATTCTGGCCTGGCCTTCAGCAAATCATTTCTCCGGGCCCTGACCCCCTGTTCCCTCACCCTTGAGGATGAAGGGAGACTGCATACGGAGCCCCTGCCCTGAGCTCAAATACGTGCTTAGCAAACGTCAGTTCACTGGTAAAGAAGGATTTGGTTGGGAATGACCCAGTCTTAGGTGCTGCTCAGATTTATCCAAAGTCAAAGAAAGGCTGAGGAGTATTTCGGATCCTAAACTATTAGGACCTAAAGGAACCGCAGTGGTCACCTGTCACCTCCTAGGTCAGAAAGCACTATACTTTGTACTTGTATCTTTTGTTTAGTGAACACCTACTATGTGCTGGGCCCTATGCTAGACACCAAGAAAAGAGAGATTTTTAAAAAGAGGAGCCTGGATGGTTCAGGCGGTTAAGCATCTGTCTTTGGCTCAGGTCATGATCCCAGGGTCCTGGGATGGAGCCCTGCCTTGGGCTCCCTGCTCAGTGGGGTGTCTGCTTCTCGCTCTCCCTCTGCCCCTCCCCTTCAAATGTGCACATGTGCGCATGCACTCTCTCTCTCTCTCTCCCAGGTAAAGAAATAAGACCCTTAAAAAAAAAACCCACATGAACAGATAAAATCCCTTTTTCCTTCAGGTAAAAGAGAGGAGCCTTGGAGAAGTAGTCCGATCCCTTAATGTCCAGATGCTAAAATACATGCCCATGGTGGTGAGTGACTGGCCCGTGGCCACACAGCATGGCAGGGTGGGTCAAGACCAGACCTTCTTCTCCAGTGTTCAATCCTCATCCCGCTAAGCCTGGGGTCAAGCTGCATCTGCGAGGCCTCCACCTCTACGCAGACTCCGGTGCTGCTCGCGGCTGTGCAGCCTTAGGCAAAGCGTGCTACCTGCCTGAGCGTCAGTCTTGCCATATGCAATACGCAACCAGGAATGATGCCCCACGTCACACGGTTGCCACAAGGCTAAAGCCACAGTAACATGCACAAAAATAATTTGTTCTCTGGAGACTGTGTGTTGTGCAAGCAGTTCCTGCTCCTTCTCGGGTCACCAGGGTTTCTTTCTCTAGGACAAGGCAGCTTTCCGTAACCACATTGGGTGTTTCTTCTCCACTCAGCAGGCATTTATTGGGTACCTCCTACATGCTCCACTTTTAGTGGCTACTGAAGATCTCTGGGACGTAACCCTGACAGCCAAGGGCTCACCCTGGTGAGGGAACAGGACAAATGGAAGAAACGTGGCCATTTGCCACCAGGATCAAGTGGGTGGCAGCCAGTCTGCAGTCCTCAGGGAAGCCACAGGGAAGATGACACTTGAGTCAACCATGGAGACTAGTTGTGCCAAGGAGGGGTTGGCAGGGAGGGCGAAGGCATCCCCGGAAGGCTTCCTGGCAAAGACACCAAAGAGGAACAGGGTGGCAGAGGGCCTGGGGGGTGGCCAGCCCATAGAAGTGCTGGCCCTCCTGCCTGCCTCCTGGCTCTTGGGGCCAGTGGAAAGAACAGTTAGGAGGAGAGGAAGGTTCTAGGGGAGGCGCAGGCGCCCCCCAGACCCACTGGACCTGGAGCCAGACTTCTAGGTACTGGTTCCCTAATCATTTCTGGACAAGCTGGAAGCTGCCATTTTAGGGCTCTCAACCAAAACATGTTGCATCCTCGGGTGAGGCCTGGGGTGAAGGGCAGTGCTGCGTTACGTTAGCCAGCGGGACTGCGGAAGTCAGGAAAACAAGAAGGAGGCAGAGGGGACCAGGAACACGTCAGAGGACCCCAAAAGAGGAAGTAGCCCAGTCTCGGTTCCGCTCCTGAGGATGGGAAATACCCTCCGTTCTCCCAGCCCTCGGCAGCTGTCCCCATGCCCTTACCTGAAGCCACCAAACCTGGGGCAGGACCACATGGGGCCTGGGCCTCGTCTTTCCACGGTTCCCCAAAGTCACTGAGTCCTGAGTGTATTCAGGGACCTGGGGCAGCCCCAGACAGGGCATCATGATGCCTGTGGGTTAAGGAATGGGGCCCAGCGAAATCTGAAATCTGAGGAAGGATGTCAATCCCCCCTCCTCCCTGCTCTCCCAATAAAGACTTCAGGAAAAGGAGGGACCAGAAGCCAGGAGGGGCTCAGCCCCACCACCATCAACTCATGGATAGAAATTCTGGAGCCCAGATGAAGACCTCCAAATTCAGAAATCTAGTTTATTAAGTCATTGCTGGGCTAGGCTAGGAGAGTGGCCCCCCAGTCCTGGTAGGAAGTGAGGGGTAGGGACTGGTAAGCCTCCTCTCCCCTCCCCTCCCCTCCCCTCTCCCCCCTCCTCCCCTCACCTCTCCTCCTCTTTCCCTCTCCTCTTTCCCCTCCTCTCCTCTCCCCTCCCCTCTCCTCCCCTCTCCTCCCCTCCTCCCTCCTCCACAATCGGCTAGGGACGCCTGGGTGGCTCAGCGGTTTAGCGCCTGCCTTTGGCTCAGGGCATGATCCTGGAGTCCCGGGATTGAGTCCCACATCGGGCTCCCTGCATGGAGCCTGCTTCTCCCTCTGCCTGTGTTTCTGCCTCTCTCTCTCTCTCTCTCTCTCTCTCTCTCTCTCTCTGTGTGTGTGTGTCTCATGAATAAATAAATAAAATCTTTAAAAAAAAAATAGAATCCAAAGCAAGAAAGAAACCAGGCCCCCAGGAAGTGAGGATAGAAAGACAAATAATATGACTTCTCTCCTCCTCGTTTCTCACTGTCCTGGGCTCCCCAGGACATGTCTTGTTGGCCTGGGTGTAGTTCTGCCTGCAGTTTCAGCAGCGGCTGGGCTCCTGTCTGGCCTTGTTCCATCCACAGCTGCCCCCGGGGAGCACAGCCTCTCTGGATAGAAGGACTCTGCATTAAGGGCCTCCTGAGACAACATCCAGGTGTGGACGCCACCTTGGGTCCAGTAGGGCAGACCAGAGGAAAAAGTGGTGATTCACAAGGCAAACAGTGTTGCTGTCCACCAATCTACACTTGGTTTGTGATTTCCCTTGTGCATTAGCTGGGTTGGTTTTTTTTTTTTAAGATTTTATTTATTCATTCATGAGAAATAGAGAGAGAGAGAGAGGCAGAGACACAGGTAGAGGGAGAAGCAGGCTCCATGCAGGGAGCCCGACGTGGGACTCGATCCAGGGTCTCCAGGATCACGCCCTGGGCTGAAGGCAGATGCTCAACCACTGAGCCACCAGGGCTACCCTTGGTTGGGGTTTTTTGTTGTTGTTTTTAGCCTGGCCTGGGTTCCTCCCCGACTCCCACTGTTTCTGGTCCACCCTTCCCGTCACAGGGCAAGCCTGGCACAGGAAACACACGACACAGGGAGACTGAGATCTCCGCCCCCAACACATGCCCACCCATCGCGGGAACCTAGAAAATAAGATCATGCTTCTAGACTGTTTTAAGAACTGCTCTCCAAATGGTTTGGGCAGCACTGAGCCTCAGCAGCAGAGCCAGGTGGTAGTCAGGAGTGTGGGAAGGTTGAAAGTACCAGAATGAAGCACGGAGTGCAGCAGGGCAGAGCAAACACCAAGAGCAGCCTTCAGCTCTTGGGGAAAGTTGGCTTCTGGTAGGAAGGTTAAAAACAGCATCTGGAATCACCCCCACTCCCACATGACTTTGCCTATTGAAGATATGACTGGTTTTCCAGCCTCTGGAGTCTGTCCTTTGAGGGGAAGTGTCTAGGGGACGCCTCGTGGAGAGCTCCCCTCTGGGTCTGCAGGCCTTGCCCACACCAGGCTGAGCCAGGATGGCTTGGCTCTCCAGGACACCTGGAACCCCTCCCCAGGCTCAGGGGTCCCCTGGGAACCAGTCTCTACTCCTGAGCAATGGCTACTTTCTTTGTTTGGAGGAGAAAGCCATTTCCACTCTACTGGACTCTGTCCAGAGTCCAGACCCTTCCTGGGGGTCCTCCCACTGCAGGCCTGCAGTACACCCAGAGTAACTTCTCACTGTCCACAAGGGACCAGGCCAGGCCTTGAAGGCAGCCCGGGAGCCTGGGAGGGGCAGGTGCCTGTACCAGGAGCTACCTCCTGCAGAAAAAGCAAAGGGAGGGCAACAAAGAGATGAGGCCTGGAAAGGATTCCTCTAAACCACTGCCTCTGGTGAGGCTTCTTCCAGGCCAGAGGATCAGCTCAGAGAGAAACTGGGGGTACATGAGGGATGGCTAGAGGGAGAAAATGGATGGAGGGAGAAAATGGATGGAGGAGAGATGAGCTTGAAAGCAAGTGGAGGGAAGGTGTGAGCCAAGGGTCAGGTGGCCATGAAGCAGGGATCACTCCTGGGCTTTCAGTTCAGAAGTGACACCCTGGAGTGATCCTTCTTGGGCAGAGTAGCCATCTAGAACCTTCAACTCAGAGCAAAAGGTTGAGACAGAAAGGTCAACTCTAGAAGCTGCCATCTGATTAGAAATAGAACATCCCCAGGAAAGAAAGGCAGGATGTGGATTGGGTACACAGGCGAAAAGGAACAGTCTGCTACCAGCAGGTGGTGGGGACAGCATGACCCTGAGCCTTGATACCTGAGATCACCTCCCACAGATCCACCCCCCAGAAGTGGTGGAGGATGAACTGAATGATCTCTTGGATTCCAAACAGTCCTCAAGACTGCTAGACTTGGGTGTCTGCACTATCTGAGGACCTTATTAGAACATTAGATTTACTCAGGAGCTCACCAACCTTCCACTCACCTCTCTGGGGCTCCAGAGGCTGACACTCCCCCATCAGACTAGCCTGTCGGAGAACTTCATATAGCCACCATCTGAACTGCCGATGTGGCCACTGATGGTGAAGGGTGGTCCCACCTCCAGCTCCTTCAGATTCCTGAAAAAGATGATCCGATCAGGTTTGGGGGGCTGAGAACCTGACCTCTCCTTGGGAGCCCAACTCCCTAGACCAGAGCATGGGAAGAACTTCCTGGCTGTGACTCCTTGACTGACTCATCTTCCAAGAACAGGAACTGGCCCATGTCTCAGGGCCAGACCAAGAGCAGGCCTGCCCTGTGGCAGAGATTTGACAAGATGGCTTACCGCAGGGGGACTTGTTGACCCCCCTACTCCCCAAATCCCTGGTGGTCTCCATTTGCTCCTCTCTTTTGACACCACATTGTGTCTGAGATTATATTATTTGTAGTCAGGCCTGTGTCCACCACAGGCAGTGAAATGCCCAAAGATAAAGACTATGCTCATTGTACCCCCTAGAAACTAATATCACTACATCTGCAACAATGGATCCTTCCTGAATAAATAATGAGTAGATGATGAAGGAATGAATGAGTGGATGAAAGAATGGATTTACCTCCCTACCTGGGGGTAAATGTTAAGAGGTTCACCATCAGTAGGGTCTTACATAATCCTGTCCACATTCAAGTTTTTATTCATGGTTCTTTCTACATAGACACTGGCTCCTTCCTTTTCTCTTGTTTGCTCAAGGGGATGGGGAGGAACCAGAGCCAAGGAAGAGAAAGAGTGTGTCTTGGTTCCAAACCTAACCCCACTCAGATCTACCCTGAATCCACTCACCGGATCTGGTACAAGTTGAAGACAAAATTAGGCCCTAGAAAGACAATCAGAAAAGAGAGGGTTAGTACCTCCAGGGAGACCTGCCCCTCACCCTTCTGGGAACATCTGGTGCTCCCTTACCCCATCTGGGAGGAGTTGGGTGGCTGGGCTGGACCTCAGGATGCTGTGGGAGGGTCCCATGTCCCTTCACTGTCTGCCACCTGCCTGTATCCGGGTGTACCCCATCTTCCCAGACAGAACCACCACTTTCAGGAGGCAGATCCTATGCCTAGGCATCCTCCCATTAAGGGTACCGATTACTCTGGGAAAGAGGCAGTCCTAGCTTAGAGCCCAAAGAAGCAGACCTGGGCTTGAACCCAGATTATGCCACTCTCTAACCCTGTGACTTCAGCCTTCCAGGTTCATCTATAAAAAACAGAGACTAAGAATTCCAACCTTAAGTGGAATTTTAAAGAAAATAGTATTAGGCTAAAGTACACTGGCACACAGTAGGTGCTCAAGAAACATTCATGGAAGCTGTGGAGGAGGTTAACTGCAGGTCTGAGAAATGCTCTCTACCTCCGGGGACCCCAGCATGTGGCGTCATCTCTCCGAGGGCCTACGGGAAGCGCAGATATGGCTCAGAGCTGGGAGCACCCCAGCAAATTCTGGGAGATTCCCAGGGAAGCTGAAGCTAGCTTGAGAGAGGACCTCAAGATCACAGTCAGGGGAAGAGATGCCCAAGGAGCCAGAGTGGGGGACACCTGCCTAGCCCACTACCCCTGGCTTCGAGGCCCACACACACCTTGGGGATGGACTCCTGTGGGCTCTGAGGGAAGAGAAAGAAGCTTCAGGCCAGGAGGAGGAGCCCCCACTCCCTTGGTGAAGGCCCAGTACCCCAGCCCCACCCACTCAAGTGCTCCGTCACCCTCACTCAAGTCTTCAACAATGTCAGCCGGCACAGGAAATATTTTTGCATGATGCCATGCTGCAGAGTTTGCAGCCCCACCTGGCCTTGCCAACTGCTACAGGAGGGGGCAGGTGCACACTCACCCTCCCAGCAGTACCCGCGCTGGTACCACTTGGCCAGGCTGTAGCCCAGGACTGAAACGAGCAGCAGTGACAGCCCCACGCCGAGGATCAGGCCCAGGGTGCTGATGGAGTCCTCACCTGCAGAGACACACGGCCCCCTTGGTGGGTCGGTCACCCATGGTCCTCCCCCTGGTTCCGAGTCTCCCCCCATCCACTGCCATCAGAATGATGGCTCCCCTAGGAATCGCCATCTGAGTAGCTGCTTGAGCTAAGTCACACCAGGATAGCAAAGCCCTGCATTTTTAAAGTCAGCTTGTTTCTCCAAAGTAACAGTTTTGTTTTTTTGTTTTTTTTACTTTCCTCATTTTTTTTAATTGGAGTTCAATTTGCCAACATATAGCATAACACCCAGTGCTCATCCTGTCATGTGCCCCCCCAGTGCCTGTCACCTAGTCACCCCCACCCCCAGTCCACCTCCCTTTCTACCACCCCTTGTTCGTTTCCCAGAGTTAGGAGTCTCTCATGTTGTCTCCCTCACTGATATTTCCCACTCATTTTCTCTCCTTTCCCCTTTATTCTCTTTCACTATTTTTTATATTCCCCAAATGAATGAGACCATGTTTGTCCTTCTCCGACTGACTTGCTTCACTCAGCATAATACCCTCCAGTTCCATCCACCTCGAAGCAAATGGTGGGTATTTGTCCTTTCTAATGGCTGAGGAATATTCCATTGTATACATAAACCACATCTTCTTTATCCATTCATCTGTCGATGGACACCGAGGCTCCTTCCACAGTCTGGCTATTGTGGACTTTGCTGCTATAACACTGGGGTGCAGGTGTCCTGCCATTTCATTGCATCTGTATCTTTGGGGTAAATCTCCAGTAGTGCAATTGCTACAGGCCTTCTGCTTATTGGAAAAGGCACTGCTGTTTTTGGGAGGGAGCCCAGGAGGTCTGTCCTCAGCCTCACCTGTGGCCCCCAGAGCGGAGACCAGAAGATCCTCAGTACCCTCCCCGCAAAGCCGTGGATGGCGTGGCAGGGTGTTTACTTTTAAACTCCATTTGCTGCTTATACTTATCGCTTCTTCCTTTTTTGTGGTATGAGCTCTTAGCTAAATTTATATTTTATTTGTAAAGCCAAACTGAGGGAGAAAGGGAAGAAGGAGGGACGGGGTGGGCCAGAGATAGGAAGGAAAGGAGGGAAGTGGGAGAGAGGGGAGGGGGGGGAAGGAGGAAGGAGAGATGGGGGAGGGAAGGAGGGAGAGGAGGCGTTGGAGATCGGACTCCTCCAAGGAGATGAGATGGGCCTCAAGCAGAAGCAGAGAGGGAAGCCAGCTTTGCAGAATGAGGCTACCAATGGGAGCAGCGTGGAGAGACCCACCCAGCATGCCAGGGAAGAGGAGGGCCAGCCCCGCTCCTGCTGAATGAGCACCAGGAGTGTGAAAGAATCACCTGATCCTGGTGGCCTGGGGTCCTGAAGCTCCGGGGCTGTCTCAGGGGGCCAGGAGGCACAGTGGTTAAGCACAGCCTTTGGCACAGCAGGCTTGCTTCCAAAGCCCAGGCCCATCATTTGCAAAATGTGGGACCTGAGCAAATCCCTTCCCCTCGCTGGACTTCAGTTTGCTTTTATGGAAAATGAGCATGATAATAAAATACACGTAGAGTTGCCGGGATGACTGATGGAGGTGCAGCATAGACAGCGCCCAGCAGACCGGGCATACACTAAGTTCACAAACATTAATTACAAGATTGTTGTTGTCATTCTTATCATCACATGGCCTGGCTGCATTTTAAAAATATTTCACAATCTCCCCTGCCCAAGCCTTTCCTTCCCCCATGCCCCTTGGCCCTTATTCCCCTGGAAGCCTCCCAGCAAAGAAAAGGGGAAGGCTTTATCTTAGACCTCAAAAACCCAGGCCATCAGAAAAATTGAAAGGATTCACAACTTAGACAAAGAGATGAGCCAAAGCAAGATTTCCCTCCTCATCGAGCTAGAGGAGAAACCTCCAGCCTGGGGGACAGGAAGGGAAAAGGCGAAATTAAGAGAAGTGGGGGAGGGTGGTGGTGGAAAGATATCAGTGGGTCCCAGAGAGAAAGTCCTTGTTCCATGATCCAAAATTGAGCCCTGGGGAGACAACAGAACCTGAAGGTAGAGTTGTGGGATCCGAGGATGAGCCCCAGGAAGACAAGAGCCACCCTGGCAGATGGACCCTTGGACAGCCTGGGAGAGTTGCTGTGCCCTCTCACGACACGGGAGCAGCCAAATGATTTCCATGTCCCCAGGAGAAGCAGGGAAGTCACCGAGAAAACTTCTAGACCAGAAGGTGCCATGCAGCTGGGATCTCAGGGACACCTCTGCAGCCCCCTGTAAGTTGATGCTTCAGAGTCCAGTCCACGTGGCAGCCACTGCCATGGGTGCCCATGTGAGCACATGGCATCGGGGACTATGCACCCTTCCCCTGCTCCTTACATCCCCAAGAAATGGGGGTAATCCACTAATTACCCAGAGCCACTAATGGCATCTTCTCTGGGCCAGGCACTTGTTCTAGACACTTGTATCCCAGCAATAAATAAAACCTACATGCCCCGGTTCTCATGGAAATTATATTCCAGTGGAGGGAGACAGACAATAAAGTAAAGAAATAAATTATACAGTATCCTGGAAGGTGATGCATGGTGAGGGGAAAGAAAGAAAGCAGAGGAAGAGATGGAAAGCTCTGTGGGGATGAGGGTACAGTTTTAAACAAAGGAGTCGGGAACGGGCTCGTGAAGAAGGTGACAGTTGAGGAGAAAGCCCTGCAGGAGCTGAAGGAAAAAACATGCCACGCAGGCAGCTCCAGCAGAAACGTGTGGGGCAGAGGGGGCAGTGGGTCCAACGGAGGCAGGAGTGTATGGGGGCAGGTTCCAGGAGTGTTGAGGAGGAGCCCTGAGTGATGGGCAGGGGATGAGCAGCAGGAGGTGGGCAACAGGAGCCGGACAGTATAGTGCCTCAGAGGCAATAAGGGGAGTTTGGGTTTTCCTGTGAGCAAGGTGGGGAGTCATGAGAGGATTTTGAGCAGAGAAGTGATGTGATGCCTTGTATTAAAAGGGCACCCCACTGGCTACCGTGTTAAGAAGAGACGTGGCAGGGGGGTGATGATGATGAAGGGCAGCCAGTCAGAAGGCTATGGTGAAGCTCCAAGCAAGAGATGGTCACTGTGGAGAGCGGTGCAAGAAACTGAGAGGCCAAAGTCCAGGAGACCATCTGTGTGGGCCACAGAGTGCGTGACAAGAACCCAAGAGCTTGAGCCTTCACAAACAAGGGGGAGGGTCCCAGGAGTAGTGGATGACTCAGCAAGGCATGGTAGGAGTGTTTGTGGAAGCTGAGGTCTTAAAGGGTTTCATCAAAGAAAAGAACCACGAGGAAAGCACCAGCAGGGAAATCACACGCCTTCCGGAGACCCAGCTGGTGACGGAAGGAGATGCACAGGCTCCATTGGCTACCATTCTGTCCCCGCCCCTCACGGTGCCTTCTGGCTGAGACAGCTCCCAGACACACGAATTACTCTATTTCACCTCTTTATCTTCATAGGACACTCTTTAATATTCTTTTTTTTAAATATATTATTTACTTTTTTAAAGATTTTATTTATCCACTTGAGAAAGAAGAGTGTGTAGGAGCAGAGGGAGAGGAAGGTGGGAGAGGTAGAGGGAGAGGAAGAAGCAGACTCTCCTCTGAGCAAGGAGCCTGACGGGGGGCTCAATCCAGGACCCAAAGATGATGACTGTAGCTGAAAGCAGATACTTGACCGTCTCAGCCACCCAGGTGCCCCAAGATTTTATTTATTTGAGAGGGAGAGAGCAGGGGAAGTAGCAGAGGGAGAGGGAGAGAATCTCAAGCAGACTCAGCACTGAGCACGGAGCCCAACACAGGGCTCAATCCCATGACCCCAAGATCACAACCTGAGCCAAAACCAAGAGTTGATACTCAACCACTCAACTCACTGAGCCACCCAGTGCCCCATCTTTAACTAATATTCTTTACTTATTCTCCCTTTTGCATATCATTCCATTTTCCTTATAAAATATTTTATGCACACAGAAAGTACACAGAATAACATGATAAACATCCATGTGCCTACCACTAAGCTTCAAAGAATTCAAAACTTCCACCATTACTGCTCGTTAACTTCAGCGTAGCCTTCTCCTACCTCTCCAAGTAACTGTTCTCTCAAAGTTGACGTTTAGCTTCCTTAGGCAGGTTTCTTTATACTATCTCATTTTTTTCCCATTATGTGTGTGTTTATATAATTGTCTTGCTTGTTTCCAAACTTCATGAAAATGAAGGTAGGATTACTTCTGCTACTGGCCAAGACAGAATAATGGGAGAACAGATTTACTCTCCCACCTTAAATAACTAGAAAACCAGACAAAAATAGGTAAAATAATGGAGAAAGGTAATGCAAGACGAGGATTCCCGAAAGGCGAGAATGAAACAAGGGGCGTTCTGCGACTGCCCAGCTTACTGCCTGGGGTGGGTTCCCAACTCCAAGTACAGGGACATGAGACCCAAAAAGAGTCCCGCAGTCCAGGTTGAGGAGAAAGATTCGGGATCTGGGGGGCCAGGATAAGAACACCAGAAAGGAAGGCTGCACAGAGAGATTTCTAGGGATTTACAAAGGGATCCCCTGATGTCTCTGGCTGTGGTTTGTCCTTTAAATTTGCTTACTTACAGCATCTTTTTGGGGCAGGATTTAAGTGTGTACCTTAAATTCATCCATAGTTGTGATCTTAAAACTCTTATTTAAGAAATCCATCCTGGGGCACCTGGATGGCTCAGTCAGGTAAGTGTCCAACTCTTGTTTTCAGTTCAGGTTCATGAGATTGAGCCTATGTTGGGCTCTGTGCTGGGCATGGAGCCTGAGTGGGATTCTCCTTCTCCCTCTGCCCCCTTCCCCTCTCTCTCCCTAAAAAATGAGATAAAATAAAAATCAAATCATATATATGATTCATATATATAAATCATATATATAAAAATTAAATCATATATAATTAAATCATATATATATATATCCATCCCTACTCCAAGATATACCCCTTAGTTTTCTTCTAAAAGATTTAAAGTTCTATTTTTTGCACTTAGAACACTAATCTACCTAGTCTTCATTTTTTGGATGTGTTCTAAGGTAAGGATCTAATTTTTCTTTAAGATTTTATTTATTTAAGAATTTATATATATATATATATATATATATATATATATATATATATATATATATATATTCATGAGAGACATAGAAAGGCATAGGCAGAGGGAGAAGCAGTCTCCCTGCGGGAGCCCAATGGGACTCGATTCCGGGACCACAGGATCATGACCTGCCAAATGCAGACACTCAACCACTGAGCCACCCAGGTGTCCTAAGGATCTAATTTTTATATGGAAAATTACTTCTCCATACTTTGCCCTAATGATCTTCATTGTTTTCACTTTCACATAACATTTTTTCCATGTATGTTTGTTTCTTTTCCTGGACTCTCTTGTCTTCTATTAGTCTGAATATCTATCACTATAACCCTCCTACATCATCTTAATTACTATGGCTTCATAATAAAAATTGAATCTTGATGACTGGTAAAATAGTCTTCCTAATTCTCCCTCAAAAAAAAAGTATGTTATGATGGATACTTTGTCTTTCTCTGTGAATCTTAGAATCAGTTTTTCAAGATTGCTGAAAACCTCTATTAGAACTTTGATTGGGACTGCCATGGATTTATAGTTTCATTTGGATGAAACTGATATGGAGTCTTCAAATTCATAAATATGGTGTATGTTTTCATGTATCTGTATCATCTTTTATAAGTTATCATATGTTTTACAATTTCTCCTTTAAAGGTTTTCCATACCTCTTGCTAGATTTATTCTTAGGACCCAAATCATACCTCCAGAAATGAAAACCACAGTGTCTGGGAGAAAAATACATTGGATGGGGTTAATGGCCGATTAGATATTATGGAAGAATCAAAGCTGTCTGCTTGAAGACTTAGCAACAGAAACTTACCCAAAATGAGATACAGAGGAATAAAGAACACACGAATGGAAAGAGCACCAGTGAAATATGGGATGACTCCAAGCAAACTAGTACATGTATAATTGGGGTCCTCAAAGGAAAAAAGGATAGGAGAAATAGTTGAAGGGATTTGGTCAAACATTTTCTAAACTTAAAGAATCCATCAACTATCTACTCAAACTTTTCCTTCCCTATGAGGAATTCTGGCATCCATGGTTAGGATAGAAAAACCTATTTTCCATTTCATTACATCAAAAAAACTCTGAACTACCTGTAGGGAAGTCAAGTGTTACATTTCCTTTTTACCAAACCTCTGTAAGAATCACTATTTTCAACTAGAGTGTATCTGTAAGGTGGAAAGTACACCAGACAAGTGTACATGGTCTCTGATAAGACCTTGATTGGAGGGTGCATTTTCTGTATTATTTATATAGGGCAAAACCAAATATTTAGAATGAAGCAAAGCAGATGAATACATTGGAGTGTATTTTCTCAGTAGAAATAAAGAAGCTTGACCCGT